AATAGAATATTCAATTTTATTAAGAAGAAAGAACTCAGTCAGGGTGCGTACGATCCTATAAGTATAAATCTATTACTGTGAAATGACCCTGTCGGGCGACTATATCCTAATTCTCAAGCAGCGATAAAATAACCACCCACCCGAATCCTCACTAAGAGGGCTACATAAATTGTGTCCAAAGGCACCACCTGTGTCAGCACTTTTGGTGACACCCCGATTTACCCCGTACTTGAACAGGGAGACCTCGAGTCTTTGAGTAGTGGCTGGGCTGGGTAACGAGGCTACGTTAACTAGTTGCTGTTGGTTGAGGCTGAGGGTCAATGAGCTCCTTCGGATAAGGCTGCATGCTGCAGATACCAGGCACAACTTGTGTCAGGAGAAGAAGAAAACGCAGACAGGCCAGTCGGCTATTCAATCAAGTGATCCTTTCAGTCGTCCCTGTCACACGAGTTCGGGTCTGGAGTTGGAACCTTGGAGAAGATCACGAGTTAAAGACGTCACCTATCGTTTCTATTCAACGACTACCCATCTATGAGCCTACTTATGCTTATGTCTGGTTGGGAGACTGCTGATGCATCGACTGTGGCGCGTGCTGTAAATCAGATAGCAGCAGACCCCCGGCTGTCCGGCTGTCGCCCTCAGGATCAGAGAAGAGAGATTTAAGGGGTTCTCGCCTCTGCTCGGGAGGCGCGGATGCACTGGTTGCGAAGCTTGGCCTGGCCTGATCGTCGCCCAGGATCCAGGAGAAAGATGAGTCCCGTACCGAGGTTCGTGTTGGCCGGCTCGGATGCCTCTTTGTCCTCGGCAACGGGGTGTTTATGCTGCTTGGCGGCGACTGCGGCTCCTTGCTGGCCTCGATGATGGCGCTCGTATCTCCGTTTGACCTTTGCTGCGATGGTTGCTCAGAGGAAGAACTGTCTGTAGTCTTCTGTAAGTCAGCTTGGTCGACTTCTCTTCTTGTCGGAGAATCCTCGCTGCTCCGAGTGATGGATGGCTGTTGTTTTGCTCCAGAGGCATCTCCGGAGCCAAGTGGAATCGTCGCATCCTCAAGGCAGGCTTTCACTCTTCGGATTCTAGCGACAGCATCATCCATCGCCGATATGCCTTCGCAGCCTACTACGTTTTTCTCCTTGGCTGTGGATGGCTGGCTTTGTAGAGTATTTAATGCATCGTCCAACATCGTTGCCAAGGCTTTGTTTCGCTCCTCCATCGTAGACACCTTCAAATTCAATTCCCTTACCGTAGCAAAAGATATCCGTGGCGGGCTTGGGGAGTCCCACGCCGGACCATCATGGTTAAATAATGTCGAATTGGCTGCGCCCGCTTGAAGACCTTGCATGTTGCGACGAGCTTCGGTCACTGCACCGCGTACCGCCTTCGTCACCCCCCAGCCTTCCGCACGACGATATAATCCTTCAGAAACGTCTTGGAATATCGAATCCAGGCGTTTGGAAGTCAGTCTGTTAGGGGAGCTGCCGGGACTATTGAAAATATCACGGGTAAGGGAGCGGCTCTTCTGTCTGGTGGGGAAGGAGGCTCCAATGGGAGGAGACATGCTATTTTGTGCCCTCTGGGGGATGGGTTTGCTGGAGTATTTAGTGACAAGGTATGAGGCGCCCTCGAACGTTGTGTTATGTTCGAGATAGACCGCATCCAGAACGAAAATTCGCGGCTTGATTGGTTCTGGAGAAGGGTACCGTAGAAGCAGAGACAAGGCAGTCGAGTAGTCGGCCTCCATCACTATATTGGATATATTAGCACAACACTTCCACCGGGCTAGTGCTGTAACAACCATAGGATACTCACACTGCCACCGAATTCGCAACAACATAGAGACACAGATCATATCGATAAGTGACGACCTCACATTTTCAGCAATAATCAAGTCCCAGAGAGCAAGAACATCCTCGAAGGGGAACTCTCTGCCAAACAAGAGCCTTATCCAGCGTCTATAATCAAGTCAGCTCCAATTTAAGCCTATTCAAAAGATAAAAGCAGCTAAACTCACGTCAGAAAAATCTGCGGTAGGACTTCGATTGCAACGAGATGGTCCGCCAGCTCTGGATCCAGCTTGCGCAAGAGGCCAAGATGAATATGCTGGCTTCGTGAAATGATAGACGAAGCCTCCACATTTCCCCCGTTATTCTTGCTATCGTTATGTTCATAGAACTCTTTAGCTGTCTGCATTACGGAGCAGAATAGTATAAAGGAATCATGCTCGATATAAGTAGGGTCAAGGCACTGCAGCATCAGAGCTTCCTCGCCGCAGGCAGCGAAGGCTGTATCTTCATTCAGGGTTTGAGTGTCAATAGCATCCTGCGTCACTACCCATAAAATAGGAGCAAGCAGCTCATGCATCCCTTGCCTGTAGCCCAGGTCCGGATTTAGCTTTACAAATACGAATAATATATCAAGCAGCCTAAGCTTGACAATTGGGTCGTGAAAGAAGCTGTTTTCCTGTAAACATCTTTCGACATCTTGGGATATTTCATCTCTAATCAACTCGTCTCGTCGAAGCGATTCCCATGGTGACTTTTTATTTTTAATGAAGACAACCGGTTAGAATGGTGAATCATACATGCATCGTCTTTTTAGAGTGAGAATATTACATACTTCAGCATCCTCTGCCAGCGGGTCAACCGTGGAGGGCAACTCATCCGGGTTGTTGATATATTTTAGAAAATGCTGTCTGACCGACGTATACGCCTCTCTCGAGTCCGACAGCTGTATCGACCATTGAGACCGATCTATCTCCCTATGCAAGAGAATTGCCTGGGGAAAAAACGGTGTGAGAAAAAAGGGGGTCAGGGTATCATGTCGAAGAAGAAAAAAGACACACCTTCCAACACACTGACCGCAGTCCATCCTCACATGGATTAGCTCCTTTGGCTCCAGCTTCTAAAACCTGTTTCAATTCATGTAGAGAATGTATCTCTGGCTGGTGGAAAGTGGTATTCCATAATGACCTGGTGACAGAGAGTTAGAATTGCGGTAGTATATGCATGGTTGTACAATCTAACCGAGATTCTTCCACAGATCTCATTGCATTTAGGAGTCCGTGGGGCCTTCTTGTGCTGTAGGCAGGTTGAACTATCTCTGGGCCAGGCTGATTGGTGATGCTGATGTTGCTATCCGTTAGGGTCGGTAATATGTAGGGGTGGTTTATCAAAAAGTAAGAGGCGAGTCACCAGGCTCGATCCTCCAGCACAGCTAACAGGGTATAACGGTTCTATCAGTGAACAGGAGAGAGACCTCAGTCCCCATCGTTGTCTGATCTGAGTAATGGTGGTTCCATCCAAGGCTCAACGGGCATCGAGTTGGGCGTTAACTTTGAGCCAAAGTTGATTGGTAGGCCGTAATTAGCGTAAGTATTGTATTTTAGTTGAATAATTATAACTAGTTAAAGTAACATTACAACTTTCTTGGCCCCCACCCTCGCTCTGGCTCTACCCATATTCGATTTCTTCAAGGAACAACAGAGAAAAAGATATCTCTAGGAGGCCAACAACACTTGGGATGTAGGGAGGCAAGAGGGACCTGGGGCTTGGACTGACAGTGGAAGAGAGTGGCTTCACCAACCAAACGATGTCAGCGGATCTATTTGCAGCGTTTGGACAGCCTGATTCTGCACAAGATGCCAACTTGTCGACAACTGGACCGGTCAAGGCAAAGCGAGGTGCCTTGCTAGACACGGATGTTGACTCGAGAGATGCTGCGCCACAGGCCTCGTTATTTGAATCATGGCATCCACCCGCGATTGAGAGAGCAAACGGCGATGTCGAGGTGCTGTTCGACGCAACCACTGAACTGCCTCCAGATAGCAACAGCGAGGATGAATGGGGGGAGTTTGAGAGCGCAGAACAGCTACCGACTGCTCATAACGAGGCCTCCTTTGGTCTACAGCGCCAGGTGTCTGGTACGGGCAGCTCTGGGATTTCGGCCACACCTGTAAAGCCATTGTGCCACCGGGCTGCAAAACCTCAGCCTCAACTGCACAGTGTCATCGATCTGCTATCTATCGATGATGATCCCGCAAGGACTACAACAGGTTGTTCTACGGGTGATCGACCGGTCCAGCATCAAACAAGTCAGACACAGCGCGAGGAACTAGCTGCTGTTCAGCCTGTGAAGGGCGGGGTGGACGAACAAGACGAAGACGACGATTGGGGTGAATTTATTGATGGAGGCGAAGACTCTCGCACTAATGCCCAACAACCAATCCCTACGCCGTTATCCACGGCAAAGGCAGCCTCACCTGGGACCAGATTGAATACGGAGAAAGCGAGGGCTCCCAAGGCAGATACAGCCTTATCGGTCAGGCCTACGAACATTCCACCGCCCTCGATCCTCCTTCCGCTTTTTCCACCGCTACTGGAAGAGTCAAGACAAAAAGCGGCAAGTTACGCAAAGAGGAGAGATGCCAGCCAACCCGATCACGAGTTTGCCAACCAGGTGGTATCTGATATCAAAACCATGGCCCACGTCGTGTCCGGGCGCCAGCTACGGTGGAAACGAGACCACATACTTAGCCAGAGTACTAAAATAGGTCCCGCTAGGTCCGGGCGATCCGGGGGCATGAAGCTGAGCAGCGTCAACAAATCGGAGAATGTAAAGGAGGAGAAAGAAGCCGTAGAGGTGCTCGAGGCATGGAAGAAGTGTAGTGGCATACTCAACTCTGTGGTTACGTCTACGGGAAGGAACCCGATGCCTCCCATGTCGTTGAGCATGCAAGTACGAACTGCAACCGCCGACGAGGGTGCGCTGAAATCAACCCACGCCTGTGCACTCTGTGGATTGAAGAGGGAAGAGAGAATCCCCCGAGTCGACGACAAGGTGAGCGATAGCTTTGGGGAGTGGTGGCTCGACCACTGGGGACACGCGGACTGTGAGGGCTTCTGGAAATCCAATGCAGCCAAGCTAGATCATCGATGAGCTCACACTGCTCTCCCTCTCC